GGAGATAATTGAGTCAATTAACGGTAACTCAATTATCTCTCAGTTTCAAGGGACCATACAGAAAATGTTCAGAATTCCCCCCAAAACATTGAAAATGTTCACAGGAACCCACACATATTGTATCCCCTGAATGCCCAAGTTGCCTAAATAGCATTTAGATCTGTTCGTTGGAAGAGAATCGCCATCAAGTAAAGCTCTGACTGGCCAGCCATGATGCTGAAGCCCATAACAGTTCCATAGAAAATGGGGCAGTGGACGGTCAATGTTCGGGGGGTTCCTGTGCGAACACCAATGAATGCTTCTACTGACTCATAGGAAGTGAATGCTCCCCATGGTCGATAGTATCATTCTCCGGAAGAGTGCTCTACTAACTGGTCTGGGAGTGGAGCAGGCAGTGGTATAGTTTCCCCGATGTTCGCAAGGTATTGTATCTGAAAAGAGTTCCAGGCACTTGACGACCTTGTCCCGCTGCCTCTTTTCGGGAGACAAAATGGCTGCCATTCCTTAGAGCTTGTGTGTTCGGTTATACAAAATGGCGGCCACCCAGGGAAAGCACTTAATTATTAGTTCCTTTGCAGTTAACAAGTCAAGGGAGGTGGTCGGTGATTGGTATACATAAAAGGATGAGAAGTTCACGCTCGAGAGCCGAACTAGGTTGATACGGACAAAATAACTCTCGAAAGGAGTACAATTTGTAACCTCCAGCTACTTTGTCCCAAGGATAATGTCATGTTTTTTCTTTAACAAATGCCAAACAAAAAAAAGATAAACTGACAGTCCTTGAAAATAGAAGTTTAGGTGATGTGTACAGAGTAAGTCCATAAGCAATGTCCTTTATCCAGTCCAGTTTCGGTAACAGATGCAATAAGTAAGTTAGAGGGGAGTAATCCAGAGGCAGTGTTAAAGTCCAGTCCGAGGTCGTTCAATAGGAGATCAAGTAGTATTGAAGGAAATTCCAAAAGAAGAGACAAGGACAGTCCAAATTAGTTAACCAGATAATCCAAGATATAGGGGTATGAAGAGAAGATTCAGAAGGGGTCCGATGATGGAACACATGGTCTCTCTAGGAGTGATCCTAATGATTAGGAAGGAAGTTGATGCAATCAGTCTGATTAACACATTAATTGTGCACTGAGGTGTTGGAGATTGGAGTTTAAATAGCCAAAGGGTTGTGTACTTCCATGATGTCTTAAAGGGCCAGTAATACATTAATTAAATTCCTGACAGATAACTTACCAACATATCTAACATGGTTTCATTGGTTTCCACAAAAAAAGCATCTATTTATATTTTCATATTGTATAATTCTTGATAAAGTTATGTTTTATTTTAATGCAAGCTAAGAAAGGCAGTCTATGTAGGAGTTTAATCAATAACCCTTTTGTAGTATATTGGCAGATATTTCCTAGTTAAAGATCCCTGTGGTGGTATTTCTAAAGAATGTATTTATCACCAACAGTGCATCAAAGTGTAGCTAGCACATTGCAAAATGCATCACATGCCGAATGGTTTCTGTGTTAGACAAGATATGCTTCCACTTATTCATAAAAGAAAATAGTAAAGATGGTTTCATTGTATAGCGCTTTAACAGCATGTTTAAGCTTCTGGTGTCCTAAAACTCAAAGGATAGTAGTATCAGTATTAATGAACACAGGAGAAGAAAGACAATATCCAGAATTTAAACCTTATGGAATTATATTTGGTCATTCTACTATTCAGTATGATTTAGTTTCTATGTGTTTCATGCTATATAATCCTATTCTGAGCTAAAAATGTTGTTTTCTCTGCTTTCTGTGGCTTTATTTTTTAATATTCAAAATATGATTATTTTTGTTTCTATTTGGTTGTAGCTTTAGTAACCTCTCACTAGATAACATTATAAAGAATATCTGTTTTTGTGCTTTTTGTCTAAGTACTGTGAATAAAAATAAAGTGCTCTAGATTGTACACCAATCTATAATATAGATATAAAAATATTTGATTCCTTTGTTTTTACTCAATTATTAATCATATTGTATGTTTCACAAAGCTCGTCTTTATCTTCTTCATTATCTTGTTTTCTATTTGTATGTTTGTTAACTATTATACTATTATCATTAAAAAAAGATATGCTACTACTTTTTTATTGCATATAGAGGAGAAATGTTTTATTGATACTTACTGTAATTTTCTTTTCCTGGCTATTTTCCATGACGGCATCACTTATGTGTTAGTTCTGCCTCTCATACATAAGAATATGAAAGTCTAATTATCAATAATATAATTAAGCACATGTAAGCAACCCTTCCTTCAGTTCTTGACAGTCTTGTACAAAATCGTAGGCTAAGAAAACTAGAAGGGAACATGATCCTGTCATGAAAAATAGCCAGGAAAAGAAAATTATGATATTTAAATATACTATAATTAAATATCAAAAAAATGTTCTCCTTTTCTGGATAACCGTGACAGCACCACTAATGGCTAAGTCAAAATCAGAAGGGTGCATACTCACTGCTCAATTGTTTATTTGCAGTAACAGCCATGAAAACCCCTCTTCCAAAAGAAGATTCCATATAGCTTGCCATGTTCAGCTTATAATGACTAATACAATTCAAAGAAGAAGACCAGGAAGCTGCCCTACAATTCTCCTCCAATGGAACCTCAATGGCTGATGCCCAAGATGAATACATTTTTTTCTGGTGGAATGAGCCCTGATAGAAGCCAGAGGAAACTTTCCCTGAGAAGTGTAGGACTTTGAAATGTTAAGAGAAATACAAAGCCTTAAAGTAGGTTTGAAAGCTGATTTTCTTCTTCTGGCCCCACTGGAATCACAAACAGTTTTGAGGAGTTACTGTAGGCATTTGATATTTCCAAATAACTATGGTGGCACCTCCTAACATCGAGCTTACTACAAGCTTCTTCTTCAGGAGCGGTAGCAGAGGGAAAGAGGAAAGGAATGCTCATATCCTGAAGAATATGGAACCTAGATACAACCTTTGGCAGAAATTCTGGGGAAGGATGAAGAATAGCTCTGTCCTGTTATAAGACTGTGTGAGGTTCTTCTGATGACAGAGCATGGAACTCAGAAATTAGTTTTGTTGAAGCAATGGCCACCAGAAAAACAGTCTTTAAGGTCAACAAAAATTCTTGAATCTCTACTAAATGTTCAAAAGGTGTGTTAGTAAGGGCTGTGAGGACTAATGGTAAGTCCCAGGTAGGAGACACATGCTTCAAAGGTGGTCAAATATGAAGCACAGCCTGTATGAATCCGGCTATAACTGAATGCAAGGCCCAAAGGTTGTGAGAGCTGACAACCCCAATACTTGGAATTGAAAAGGACACTATAGTCACCCGAGCAACTACAGCTTATTGTATTTGTTCTGGTGAGTGTAATCATCCCCTTTGTCGATTTTTACTGGCTTTGCCCCTGCTCTGCCTCCTTAACAGTCTAAGCCAATCGAATGCTTTCCTGTGGGAAAGCATTGTTATTGGTTTTGGTCAACACTTTTGATGATATCAGCCAAGCAGGTAGACCAGGAGCAGAGCCAGCAGCAGCAAACTGAAATAAAAATGATATTTTACTATATTTAGGGGAGCGAGCGGGATGCAGGGGAGTTAGATGGTGTTTTTGACACAATAGAGTCAGGAATACATGTTTGCGTTCCTGACCCTATAGTGTACCGTTAAGGGAGCACTGACTGAGAGCTCCTTGTAGGATATCACTGCACTAGGGAGAATTTAAATTTCTTTGATTCCTTTCAGACCAATCTTTTAAGACATTTAATATATTTTGTAGCAGAAAGGAGTGGATGGTTTTCTGTGTTTTTATTAGGATATCTCCTACTGCCCATGAAAACCACACTTTTTTTAGGGAATATTTTTCAAAGGCTAGGCCATAAGGTTGAGGATTTGTGGGGATGGGTGCACTGCTGGTCCCTGGCTGAGAAGATTACAGGATAGGGGAAACATCCAATGACCATCTAGGTTCAATCTCATTAAAAGAGGGAAGCAATATTTCCTTGGCCAACAAGGAATAATTGATTGATTTTGATAAAACATGCCGTAAAGTAATGATTTTATTAAATTTTTTGATTGAAGTATGATGCATTTATATTACTTTAATTAAGTATAGCAGAAAAAAATAATTAACAAAATGAACCGAAACAGGTTTAAAAATATCATAAAATGACATCAAACAATTAGTCAATCAAGTTGCATGACAGGTTATAACAGATAATGACAACATTCCAATGTTCTCTTAGTTTGCAACCAAAAGGAGCCTACTATTTATATCATATTAGAAAGAGTCTAAAACACAAGACTTCCAATATAGATCAATGATAAAAACCTTTCATGCAACAACAATAACCAGGTATATGGAAAGGAAACGGAGTCCATAAAACTATTCATACTTCACCTGAGAGTCACATTGGGGGGGGAAATTAAATGAAATTAGTAAACTTCAACTGTTGAAATAAACACCACTCAAGTTTTCAAGTTCACGAATTTGACTAAATACAGTTGACAACAATGGTACAAATAAAAAGATCTATGGCTAGAGGACCCAAAAGTTTTGAAAGATGAGCAAATATCTTTATCTTGTTGCTAGTTGCTGGGTATCTGGAATTCCAGTCTGCAGTTATGTTGTTGAAACCAGGAATGTATTCCACTTGCACAGTTATGCTTTGTTCATGCTAAAGGTACAAAATTATTTTGCTAGCTTCACCAGAGTTAGTGAATGTGTTTCACCTAAGTGGCTGACATAGTGAACTGTAGAGATGTTGTACATTCTTAGAAGGATGCAACAATCTGCTTTGTGAAACTTTTTATTGCAAAATGTAGTGCTAAAAGTTCCTTATAATGGATGTGTAGATTCAGTTCCTGAGAAGACCATCTTCTGCCTGTTGATATATTACCTCATCATGCTCTGCAGCAATGATTGTTGGCATCTGATTCGATTATTAAATCTGGTTCTATACTGAAAATTGCTCTGCTCTAGATCTTCTTTTGCACTGCAATCTAGAGGAATTAGATGAAGACCTCTCAGAAGATGTTGTATATTTACATGTTGCATGGTCCTGTAGTAAAGTAGGCCTATAAAAATGGCCTGAATTAAAGATTAGAGAATTCCAATGATTTTAACAAATTGTCTGACTGTAAGCATTTGACAAACTAATGAACAGCAAATTTAATTTTTCATACTATTGAATCTATTCAATAGTCTAAGATTTCCATTCTTTGATTTCTCCAGATTTATCAAGAATTCTTGGTTGGAAATGAGATCTAAAGTTAATTGAAAATGAAATAAAAGGGAATCTCTGTCTTGAGACATGAGCAGGAGGTCATCTAGATGAATTATTAATAGAATAACTCTGCTGCAGAGAAAGGAAATGATAGGTTTCATCAGTTTGGTTAAACACCATGGGGCTGGTGACAGTAAAACAGGAAGGCAATCGAAACACCACTTTTGTCCATTTCATAGGTATTGTAGACGTTTCCTGACAGTTTCCATGAATAGGAATTGTCAAGTAGCCATCTTTAAGATCTATCTCCTCCAGCCAATTGTTTGTAAAAGAAATGGGTTCCTTCCATCTTGAAATGTCTGTATTTTACTAAAGAATTCAAGTCTCTTAAATTGATCACCTTCATAAAGCTTTTGATGAGTTTCTCTGGCCTCTACATCCTAGGGATTTTAAGCAGGGCTTGAGAGGATGTCCAAGACACAAATCTGGTGTACTCTCTTCTAGTCCATATATTTTGATCTGACGAAAGGAGCAATCCCTGTTGCTCCTATAATGCCTTGAGGAAGAAGGAGGACGTTTTCAGTCTTGGCATAAAAACTAATTTTTTACCTTCTGCTGCTTTTTGGATTGTCTCATCCAATATTTTCTCAAAATATTTATTCTCTTAAAAGGGTATGGCACATAGACTTTCTTTAGAAACATAATCTACACCCCACAAATATAGCCATACGGCTCTCCTAGTGGCTCATTAAAGGGCCAGTCTCTTGGCAATTTAGCCTATAGGGACAATCTTTTTTCTGGTTTGAACCATTCATTGAGAATTAAGTCCATGATGGTACCATGTAGAGAAAACAATGGATTGTTGGATTTTTAGGTCCTCAAAAATTGTCAGAGGCTTCCACCTGTTTGTTCTTCCGGTATTTTGAGAGTCTCTCTTGCTGCCACTATCAGTTTCTCATCTGATCTGAGGACAATAGAATATTTCCATTTCTTCTTCTGACAAATATTCTTGTAAAAATGTAAAGTGCTGGTGCGAAAAAATATTTATAAAACCTTAAGTGTTAATTGATATCTTAAAGTGCTTACATAAGTGGAGTGGGTGTTATCCCATATGACAGCCACCTATACCAATCACACACATGCATATACTTATACTCTGTACAAGATGCACTGGGCAATATGCACTGTAGGTATCTGTAAAAAGGATATAAAAAACAAGAAGCACTCCTAGTGCAATGAAGTCATTTAAAATGCATAAACAGCTAAAACCCCCTGGTATGGTAAAACTCACAAATTAGGAGTGGTGTAAGGGAGGATCAGTCCCTAGAGTACATGGAATCCAATATATGCTCTGGTGACCAGGGTGACAAGTAAAAAAATACTTTAATGTAGAATTAAAAAAGCTAAACAGCAAAAAATAAATGTCCACCGTCTGCTCACCAACCCATGGGGAGTAAAGTGCAATATAGCATTAATTACACTTAAGGTTTTATAAATATCTTTTGCGCACCAGCACTTTACACTTTTATCTTTTTGTACCTCATTACCAAGGTTTACAGCGGGTGCTGCATATCACAAAAGTTTTCTATCATTCTGTTTTAATTATTTATGGTTGCGCCGATTTTATCTATATTGTGTTATTGTAAATATTCTTGTAAGACCTCTTGTTCTGAGCTAAATTAGCTAGACATATCCATTGGTTCGGGTCTCTTTGCTGTTTTGGCAGAAATAAATTGAAGTCATTCTGTGATAGCTTGAGAAATCCAATATTTTAGTGTTTTTCTGGGGAAACTTCCTGGAAGAACTTCTCTCAGCCACTTCTTTCATAGATGAAAAGCATAGATTTTTGCAGGATGGGGCTTTAGACGCACAGCCTATGCAGCAGTTTGTTTTCTCCTTATTCTTCTTGGGTGTTGTATCTTGGGAGCATTTTGGGCTAAAAGCACAGAACTATACACTTAGACTGAACTTGCAATGCACTCGTTTTGCCCCATAAATAAATAAAAATGTCTCACCTTATACATCTATGCTCTATTCCTGGGGAGGTAGGGTAAGCCAATCTGAAATAAAAGGGATTAGGGGTAGTGCAGGTAACTTTTCTTTGGTTTTTGTTGTATGTATTGGGGCTAATGTGTGATGTTGTGAGTTAGTTAGGAAATTATGATACATAAGGGATAAATGGGCAACCCAGTACAGCTACCATCCATAGATACTAAGGTAACGCAACCTGATCCCTGTATCTGACAAAGATGATCATAACACCCTTTTACTGTAGATATATACTGTATCTTCTTTTATGCACATCTGTATCACCGTAAAACATTTTGTACATTTATACATGTAAAAATACAATATAAAAGGTGCGCTGTGTCTTTAAGATGAAATACATATATAACACACAAAAAGAGTGAAACTGTAGATCAAAATACAGCTTTACCCTAGTAAAGTGACTCCTGTGCATATCAAGTGCACTGAACAAGTGCAAATACCACTCAATGTGATTTAGTGCATAATAACCCAAACATAGTAACAACTTACACGAAAGAATAGATGAAGTGAAGTTAATAATCCAAATGGGAGGACATAAAAGAGAGAAAACAAATATATAGGGTAATATTGTAAGACAGTGCAAATAAACTTCAAAGGGAATTGAAATAAAACTCACAAACAGAGAGCAGAGAAGTCTGCTCTAACTGTGATCACACAAATAGGATTCACCTGCAGCCAATGTAGAGGAACAGACAACTTATTTATTAGCAAGTGAATTAAAATAAAATATCACCAGATCTCTCTGTGATAACAGTCCATCCGTCTTTCCGTGCGGCTATGGGCTCACACTCCTAGGCTGGCTGTACACTTAATCTGGATGCTTCTGGGAGGCAGAGTTAGCGTGATGACGTCTCCGTCGAGTCACATAAAGCGTTTCGCCGAATCACCGGCTTCATCAGATTTGACCACCCTTATTCCTTGCCGTCTATATAAGTCCACCCAAATGGGCGTGAGAGCACAAAACACTGCAGTCAGTTGTGTCCTATCCAGTGCGATGTTTGCTTATTTGTTGGATGATTACAGGCTGGGAGCTGAACTTGCTGCCTGAGTACTGTTCAGAGCTGCCTCTCATTTATATGTGTAAAACAAAAAAAGCAAACAAATAAAAAAGAAATATATATATATATATATATATATATATATATATTCCATACCAAAACTTTTTTTTTTTTCAATGTAAACACACCGATTGTCCTACTGTTTGTGAGTGGTATGTTGCTGTGAAGAAAAGAGATTTGGAATATCTTATTTATAATTCTAGGAGAACAATGGAACAATACAATTGGAGATGAGCTAGCTGGAATCTGTACACAAATAAGTAATATAGCTAACTGGAACTCTCATATACCGCCTTGGTGCCAATATTTTTTATGAAGTTTGAATATATTTTGTACCATGGTGTTCCTGGGCCATGGCGGGGGGCTGTTGTGGCAAAAGGTTATGTGAGTGTGTTAGTGTGGCTTGTCTGGTTTTGGTTTGTCTTGTATTTTCTTAATTGGAAGGGGAAATAGGGGGTGAACAATTAAGGCAATAGGTATCTGGTAGAGATGTAATGAGGGGTAAACATATAAAACTGAAGGAGGCGTTATAATGCAGAGATGCAAAAGTAGGCGGAGAGGGGAAAAGGTAGGAACATGTGATCAATGAACGCTCTGATGTCTGTTAAACTTTGAAGTGAGATAAATTGCTTTTTTTTAAAAAAAGAAAGACTGATGATAATTGGGTGTGGTTTTTTTTCTTCCTCTCTTTCCTTGATATGTTTAAATACCATCAGGCGTCTAGTGTTGTATAACATAATTGCCTTGGCTTACAAAAAAAATAAATATAATGCAGAATAATACAAATGAATAGTGAGGTTTTATAATATCATTCAGCAGCAGAAAGGCAGCTAAAGTTGAAGCTAACTTGTTGCCATATATGGAATTTTGCAAATTTCACAAAGATGAGGCTGCTGCATGTATGCACGTAGTGGGGAATCGCGATGCAGCCTAGAACAAAAACTAACCCTATTCAACCCCCCAATAACGACAGACCACTTAGTATGGATGAAACCGGCCACAGAACTTATTATAACAAACTAAATTACTGCATAACACATCCATAACTTTATTTATTAAATCTCTTCTTTTTCTGTTACCAAAACGTTAGACATAAATAAGCATAAATTAACATATATACATATATAACTCCACACATAGTGTTATACAGTGACCCAACCGTCCTTGCCAATAAACATACAGTGTTTCCTAATCACCACTTCCTCTCACCTCCCCCCTCGTCATAAAAATCATATCTTTCCAATGCCCGCCATCAGCTGACCTTATCCACGCTCGATGGGCACGACACCTCAGGCAACCTAATGTTAACCGTTTGAGGCAGGGGAGGTTGAGACCTTAAAAACTTGTTCATCTCATTCCATATACTTAGACATAACCCCTCAAACTCAATTGGCAAGGACATACCCCCTCCACAAACCCGCTGATTTACACCTAAAATCAGCGGGGGACCCCACCACAAGCAGCCATGGCCTGTTCCACCACTTTTTGAAGCAACCTCCAGCAAGCGCACCCATCCCCTCGAGATAACCAGGCCACATCCGGCCAAACCCTAAGGCGAACTGGAATCCCCCAAGCCCCCAAGACAAACCTAGAAACCCATCTCTTCCGAATTTTGACGGCAGCGTACCAAGGCTCTCACATTGCTGAGCGCACTGCCAACAGGAACGGGCGATAGCCTCAGCCTAGCCCCTGAGAACCTCTGGAAGAAGCATAATGCGTAACATGTCCAGATTTAAGAGCACCGAAATCCTAAACCGTCACCGAACCATTGTCATTCCACCCAGAGATGACAAAACCCCCGGTACCTCCATGAGGCTGGACAGCTGACCCTGTATGAGGTGGAGCCACACTCCCCTCATGTATCTGGTGCCAGACCACCGAACCTCCG